GGTCGGGGTGTTGCCACCAATGATTGATTCCGATTCACAGGGTTTGCACGGTTGGTGTTTGCACGGTTGGTGTCTGTCGCGCGCACGCGCGCGCAGGGCGCTCAGTCACGTAGTGGGTCTTTGAGGATAGTAAGTTTTTGAGGTAACATGGTTACATCACGGTTACCGGGTCGCTTCTCCGGCGACTGGGGAACATGGTAACCGGAACAGGTCTGTTCATGTCCATTCGAGCGCGCTCGGTGAAAGCTGAGCTGGTCGGTCAACAGCAGACTTCAAGTCACGTTACCATGGGTTACGCCAGGCTACGCGCGTGCGAAGCCTTTGACTTTTTGGCGATGCCACCAAAGCGGCGCCTAGCCGCGGGCATCGCCTTATGTTTGCCCTGAAATGCTGTGACCGTTTCCGCTTCCACAACCATTGCCGCGAATTCTCAAATTGCAAGCACGTTCCTCATCGCAATCGCAATCGCATACGATGATGCGCACGCAAGCCGTGCAAAATCTACCGAGACGCTGGTTGTCTCCGGGCGCTCACTCGAGACTCGCATATTGGCACAGCAAGACCGCCCGATCGCCCGGCGGGTTGCACGGTGCATCAGATCAGGCTTTGGCGGCGGTACGCTGATACGGTACTGCCAGGTACCTACCCTGGCTGGGAACAGGTACCACCCGTGTACCGATACCAGCACTGGGAGCCCGTGACTCTGAGGCTGCCCTGGTTCTTACCGGGCTGCGACCTTGCGAGCCAACACCTTCCTATGGGATTTGCCTGAGTCGCAGGTACGGTGTAGGCAACCCAGTGTATAGCATACCGGGCATGCATACTTTGAAAGTTAGCCCGGGAAATTCCCAAGTTGGAGGTTCAGCTAGTGCGCTAAAAGTTGGCAGTGGCAGGTACCGGCCGTATACGGTACCTACGATCTGATGATCCCAGCAGACGGTAGGGTACCGTACCTCCATACCAGGAGGTACCGTATACCCGGATACCTACCGTCCTAGCTCCTGAGGCTCCCGTGTAATCGGAAGCACTTTTCACTAAGAAAAGCTCCGATTTACACAAGGCATAGGCTGGCTGATGAGCGTCTAGAGGAGAAAGCAGGGCTCTGGTCAACTTTCGAGAATTCCAGGAATCCAAGAATGAGCCCTGAAGGTGAAGACATTCACCATTTATAGTCTGAGCTCGGATGTCCAGATCCGAGCTCAAGGCAGTCTGCGCAGACTGACTAACATAGGTAAGAGACCTGCAGCAAGCATCCCAACGTTCCTATGGATAAGTATCCGTTATGGCTTAAGTAATGAACGTGCAAGATATGATCTGATTACAACCGACGGCTTATAATCATCAAAAAGGATAGTAAGCTGCCACGTGTTACAGCCAGCCCCCCCCCGAAACATCGGCAACGTCCTCGTTGCCAGCCTGTTCCTCGACTACAGTCGAGTCAACCCAGCGGGCTTCGTGAAGGGGGAGGTTCTGGAAGGTGACTAAGTACTGAAGTCTGGTGCGGTTTCCCCGGCGGAGTTCCCGGTAGTCGATGATTTGGTCGATGGGGTGAGCTGGGCCCGTGTCGCTTTGGACCGGAGGATGTGGTGGGGGTTTCCGGTCAGGAAAGCTGGTGTCGTCATTGGCGTGGAAGGGTTTGAGTTGGGAAACGTGGAAGACAGGGTGGATGCGCATATGGTCAGGGAGATGGAGTTTGTAGGCGGTTTGGGAGATGACTTGCTGGACAGGGAAGGGTCCGAAAAATTTGGGGAAAAGTTTGCGGACTTGCGTGCGCCCGGGGAGTGAAAGATTGGCGGTGGAGGGGTAGACTTGGTCCCCGGTTTGGAGTATAAGAGGGCGGCGGCGTGTGTCAGCGTACTGTTTTTGGCGGTTTTGGGAGAGGGCGAGGAGGGTTTTGGATTGATTGAGAGCGGTGGCGATGGTTTGGAGGAAGGAATCGACGGCAGGGATGTCGGAGGAAGGGGGTTTGAGGAGTGACCCGGGAGTGAGGGGGTGCTGGCCAGTGGTTAGGAAGAAGGGTGAGAACCTTGTGGAGGCCTGTTTGGAATTGTAGGCGAATTCCACCGGGGTAAGGTGGACGTCCCAGTCCGTGTGCCGGGCATGGACGAAGTGGCGCAAAACTTCTTCGACGACCCGGTTGGCGCGCTCGGTTTGGCCGTTGGACTCGGGGTGGAAGGCGGTGGTGTGGGTGACTTTGGAACCAAGTAACCTGAAGAGGGTGCGCCAGAAGTGAGAAGTAAATCGGGGGTCGCGGTCCGAGTGGATGTGCCTGGACAAGCCCTTATGGCGGAAAACAGTGTCGAAATATATGCGCGCAATGACAGGTGCTGTGGTATCATCACCGACTGGAGCAAGCAAAATCTGCTTCGACAAGCGATCGACGAAAACCACAATGCCAGAGTGGCCACGCGTGGTTTTGGGCAAACCGAGGATCAAATCCATTGTGATTTGTTCCCAGCGTTGGCTGGGAATTGGGAGTGGTTGGAGTAGCTTAGCGGGTCGGCGGTTGCTGGGTTTGTTGGCTTGACACTGCGGACAGCTGCGGATATAGCGGCGGACGTCGCGCTGAAGATCCGGCCAGTAAAAGGAGCGGCCGACCAGGTCTTCAAATCACAGTGGAGACAGTCGTCGACTGTCTGAACCGTGAGTGGTTCGGATTTTTTCGGACGGCCAAGTGTCTCGACTGTGATTGCTTGTTGAGTGCCACGTCTTGCAACTGACTGGACCGTGAGTGGTTTCACCAGATCAACTTCAGAATTCAAATGTGCACCGTCAGATGGACGCAACTCCTGAATGGACGTCATGAGATGACTGATGGCTCGACCCTGGCGCGCAAAAACTTCACTGTGCTTTGATCGAACAGCTTGAGACTGCTCAGGCACTCCATGTCAGGACTGTTCTTGACATCATTCAGCAGGGTTGCCAAGGAGAGGAAGAGGAGGTGCTGGCCTTAGGCTTCGGAGGGGAGAGCTTCCTGAGCAATTACAGCCAGCTGTTGGGGGGGCTTTGCAGTCTTTCTGAGCTACGTGGAGCATCGCGAGCATCTGGCTCAGGACCTGGCCATTATGCAGGCTGATCATGGATGCTTCCCCTGGTATGCAGAAAGTGTCATATGCTTATTTGTTTGAATATTGCAAAAGATTATCGCAGACGCTTCCAAAGTTTGACCGAAAAGGCTATCTGTACGAAGAAGTCCATCAGATTGTGGATTGTGGTCAATTCTAGCAATAAAACCGAAGAGCTCAAAACAGTGCGCAAGCCCGTTGACGGAGTAAACCCCCCCGGCCAGTGGCCTGATTGGATTGTCCCTGGCCCAAACCCTAGCATTCTCCTCTCGAGCAAGAGAGAGGACTGGTGGATTTGGAAGATTAAATTGGCTATCTGGCATCCCCGTCTATTCTGGTTTAGGTATTTCAAGCGGTTCAATAAGGTCAAATGCCCCGACTGCAGGCAAGACTGCAATGTTATTGGAGACGGGTTTGCCACCAAGCTCAGAGCCGTTTGTTCTCATGATAGAACGATCTACATTCTGGACTACCGCTACAAGTGTGTGGGCTGCCCAAGTAAGTTGCGAACACCTCCGCATAGTCGGTAGCATAACATATGAAGTGAACTCTGATGTTAGTTTGCTGAGGCAATGGCAAGGTACTTGCATTGTTCCTTCTGTTTTGGCGACGTGCTTGCATTCTTCCTGGTGGTTGACGCAAGCTTTTGCATGCAAGTCAGGCTCCTCTAGCACTGGTTCGTTTGGTTGCTGTTTGGTTGCTGTGGTTGGTCAGGACCAATTCCATGCGATGTCTGCAAACATTTCTGAAGTTCTGCCCACGGATAAATGGAGTGCCTGCAAGTGACACGAGTGCATTCCCCTTTGCAGAAGCCCAATGGTCCAAGAACCGCTGCTTTTCAAGCGCCCACCCGAAGGTCCTCGCCGATCTACCTCCTTTCATACAGCGCCAGTACGAGGAGCAATTCCTCGTCACGCATAGAGGAGCCTTGGACCGGGTGCTCTTCAACCTGGTGCAGGGGCTCACTATTGCTGGGGTTGCCTTTGCTCTATGCGCACGACTCATCAAGGAGTCGCACGCGCTGCAGTTCTACGCTTGCAAGGAGACATATCTTCTTTACCACGAAGCTCTCCAGAAGAGCGAGAGGTCGTCCATTAGGAACTTCTTTAAGCCTTCCAATCCCGCAAGCGTAGGTCCCTCTTCCACTCAAGGGGCTGACCCCTCCCCCCCCCAGCCTGCACAAATAACGCCCATTCCTGACTTCGGCGAGTTTGAGTCCGGCACCGGATACCGCAGCTACGTTCCAAGCACTGGTTACCTGACCAGTGTCTACCTCGCAGAGTTTGAGAGCCGCAAGCAGTGGATTCACCAGCAGCTGGTGCATGTTGACGGGCGATATGTGAAGCTGGACCATACGTTCAAGGTGAGAAACATGGTACAATCTTCCGGGGCGTATACATGATTTGGTCGTGATCGTCATGTTTGTTTCATTTGGCCCACAATTCAGTCTAAGCACTTTTCACTCAACTTCAGAGCTGATTAATCGATGCTGTCACAACAAATGGAAGGAGTCAGGAGAGGGTGGCAGTCTTTCTGATGAGATGAGTAAAGTCACTGATCTCGCGAGTACCTAGTATGATCCACATTCCCAAGCATACTGTGCCTGTTCTTTGCATTGTCACTCAGCCTGGTCTTGATTTGGCTACTCCAGGTATGCAAAATGATCAGGACCGCGGATGGGAAGAAGGCCTTTCTTGGGGTGATGACCGTGATGAACGAGTACGGTCAGATTGTGTTCCAAAAGATGACGCAGACGACATCTCTCGACGAGGTTTCCGGCGACTTCCAGAAGATCCGGGCTAGATATGCGGCCCATGGCTTCCAGGTATAATCACTGCCAATGCATTCATTATCAGGCTAAGATGGCGGCAAGACTCGGTAACTCCTGTTGGAATTGGCTGCTGCCCAATTTGAACAGAGCTAAACAAGGCTGGACAACCAGAAAGTCTAGGAACTGCGCTTATATTGTTATTGGGGTACTGCCCTGGTCTGGCTTCCACCTTTCTCCATTTGTACAGGCCTGTGTTTCATAGACAGCAAATGGGACCAGGAGAGATCAGGTTTGGCAGCACTGCTTGTGTCTTTGTGTACAGCCCATGGAGATCGCCTGGGTGGATAATCCCAGGACGACGTCTGCAAAAGTCAAGGCCTCTCTTGGGGTAGACTTGGTGCTGAACGACCCCTTGCACGCCCTGATGCTTGTGTCGTGCACAATTCCAGATGACCATAGTCTGAAAGGTAAGGTGATCTTCACAATCCAATTTTCCACGGTCCATTGTCAAAGTGCGAGAGTGCCCTCATCTTGCAATGCTTCATGTCCCAACGCTGACACGCTTGTTGGTTCCTGGTTCCTCTCTTGGCAAACTTATAAGGTGCAGCTCAACACGGGTGCAATTCCTGAGGGGATGCTGCCTTATGTCATGAATTCGATGCTAGGGTGTCTCCTTTTCAAAAAGTTTGCAAGCTGCATCTATTGGTGGATTTGTCGTGCTTGCAATCTCAATCCGGATCTTGAGCTTTGAGTTTCTTCATGCAGGTTTGCTCATGACCCGCATGAGCCAGGCAATGTTCAAGACAGTGGAAGGCGACAAGGCCCTACTGGTGGACTACCTTCGGAGGAGCGGGCTGTCAGAGGGGGATATTGCCAGGAAGCCGGCTGCATATTTCAAGCGGCACTGCCGGCGTGTCATTCCGACCGCCACGGAGTTGGGAACTAGGCTGGACCAGGTCTTCCAGGGCCTCCAGTACGCGTACGACACGGCCACGGGCGTCACCCTGTTCAACAAGGCCACCACTCAAGCCTTCATAAACGTCCTCAAACTGGCCGAAGATGGCCTACTGAGCGGTAAGTGGATAATTGGAAGGAAGAGGCTTTATGACGCATGTGGCTCCTTCTCGTTGTGCCGGTATTTTGCATTGGCAACTATTCTGAATTGTGTTCTGAGCAACGGGTTGTGATGCATGATGTTACAGCTGTCGTTTCCGGTGCCTCAACTCTTTGCAGTCACACAACTGGGCGTGGTTCAGTCTTTCAATTGTGCTAGTGCTCAGGGTTTCAACTTCTTCTGACTTGGGCAACAGAGCTGTTATACGTCTGGACAATGCATTCCTTTGAAGTGTAGCAGGCCCTTGTAGATCGGAATTTGAATGCAGTTCTGATTGGCTCTTTCGATGCTTGTCTGTTCAAAATGGCACCATAGCTTTTTCAAGGGAAACTTTCTAAACACGCTTTGCCTCTTCCTTGCCGATCCTCTTCCTGTACAGGAGATGTTCATCCAAACCGGCACCTGGGGGGGGGGCATTCCTTGCTACACAGCCATCCGGGGCTCCAGCCAGCTCGAAGGCTATCACCGCCACTTGGCACTTGTGCTCTCTGGCGCCAACAACTCCCCGCAGCTTGCCCACGCTCAGCTCTCCGACCACAAGGTCGATTGGAACCGAAGAGCGGCAATCACAAAGCGTGGGCAGCGCGATTATCTCATCTCAGATCTGCGCCGCATCGAGCGTATCAAAGCTGCGAGCGCAAGGCTGAACATGGTGGACCCGTACCCTGAGTACGTGGTGCTCTGCTTCGACTCAAACGAGCTCTTTGGCTGCGATGGTGTTCTTGCCGGGCTGGACGGGAACGCAGTAAGCAGCTTCGACATGTTGAAGGAGGCGGAGCTGCCGAAGGTGGTGGATGATGGGGGTGCTTCACTGCTTGAGGTTGACTTTGACGGTGAGCAAAATTTCTTTGATCTGAGCGCCGCACCTTGGAATCGTGCATCCGACTGAACTCCATTTGCTTAGTGACGTTGATTGTGTCGCAATTCTAGAACCTGCTGTCCTTTCTAAGCAACAAAGTCTGTATCAATCAACGGTTGCTTTCTATCATCTCTGGCCTCCATGTTTCTTACCAAGTCCTCACATAAAATATTGTCAAGCTGAATTTGTCCTTTTTCGACTCCATGTGCAGAAAACAAAGAGCCCCTGGTTGCCCTCTTCAAACCAGATGCGCCCCCAATCGGAGTGCCAGTGGCCACCCCATCTCCCACTGGAGCAACACGGCCGGCAGAGTTGGTCCCCCCCGGCGCTGCCGCGACGCCCCTCGCCGC